CGAGCCGTGGCGGGGGCTGTAAATACGTGTGGGGTGTTACTACGTCTTTATTTACAGAGAAATATTTCCCTCAGCACTGGGCTCGACCCATTTTTTAAACCAATGAAAAGGAACTTGCTATGTTTTGCTCGCCTTTCCGTCATTGTTTTTGAAGACTGGATACCATTCGTTAGAATTTAGCAGGGAAAATGTAAACCTACAGACGCTAACTTCACGTACGGAAAGCCTCCGTGAAGATGACCTTCTCCTCTGGCCTGTTTCCGTTCCGCAGCGCACCAAGAACTTCAATAGATGGTTCTTGTCAAAAGCAAGATGTTACGCTCGGTAAATCTGAGGCATTCAAGTAAATGCCATTAAACAATAATAAAGTTAAAATTAGTAATGGGGCTGGAACAAGTTATACGAAGATGGGTTTAATGCTGCCTGGGATGCTCCCAAAGGCAATGGGTAGCTTGGTAAAAGGTGGTGATGAGAATATTGATGTCCCACCCACCAGATTCGCTGCTGTTATATGGTATATCCGTCAATGTAATCCTAAATAATCTGATTCCAAGCTGAAACATCTTATGTTTGTTAGGTGTTTTGCTGGAGCTTGAGCTGTAGCTAAAAGATAACTTTCTTTTGCTCCTTTCAATCAGACTTTCAAGTTAGCCTCATAATTCTAGGCATTTGCAAAGCATATAGCAGGCTACAGAAATCCAGAAAATACATTTGTCTCAATTCTCAGCTAACGTCCTGCTACAGTCAGGCTGCCGCAGGGCTCTAAGTGACCTTGACATGAATGAGGACTGGACCAGGCTGCTCACTTGCAGGCCAGCTTCCCCCAATGACCTGGCACAAACGGAGCCCATCTCGTGGATCACATACATCTAAAGAGCTTCAGGCAAGCGTATTTGTACGTATTCTCATCCGTTAGCTAGAGGAACCCCTGGCCCTCTCCGCTGCCCTGTGGAGATGGACGAGAGCAGGATGAATGCAGCTGTGAAAGCGGAGGGTTAACAGGACGGACGCGCTTGGGGGGCAGGGGAAACCCCTGCTGTAGAGCCAGCCTTGAGGAGAGGGGCAGATGCTGCTCTTTGGGTGCGTCAAAAATAATGGCAGTTCTCCACCCATCCCGCCTCACAGAACCAGCGAGAGGGAAATTCTGTTTACTTGAGTCAGATTACAGCAGTTTAAAGGAAGGTCATGATTTGGGCCTAAACAATTTTGGCTTACTGCCAGCAACTCGTTTTCAAAGCTATAAATAGGAATGATTTCAAAATACTCTGAAAAATAAAAATCAATGGGCTGCAGAAGCCAGCTGAATTGTATTTCAAAATATTTCCAGGTTATGTCCTTAAATGAGGCAGTGAGATATTATGTAGCACAAGGAGTGCTTCATAAATATTAACCTAGTTTATTTTTAATGAGGACTGACTACATTTAATTAGGGTTTGAAGACTTTCATTTTAGAAAACGTAGGTCTCACCCCTGGCTAGAAGAAGTGTTAAATGACCTAATAATCTTTTCCATTTTTAGCTGCTGCTACCATGATGCTCCGTATGATTTGTGCTGTTCCCCAAGGACGATGCGGAGAGATCCTTGGTTTGGGCAGGTCCTGCTGCAGCTCCTCCACCAGCCACCCTCACCAGAAACACAGCCAGGCTGGAACCCCTGGCAGTTCCAAGCAGCTGACAAGGCCACCAAAGCTCTTATTTGCTGCTATAATATAAAGCAAATATTCTTTCAGCTCCTTTAATCCATCCACGAAACTGATCCAGTGCTTATCAGCCTCAGTATTAGCACGGGGCAAAACGGGTAATTGCTGCCCCGTCGTAGGTGTTGCCTGCGGACAGTCCGTCTCCAAGGCAGTCATTGCCCAGGGTCATTTTCTTCCAGTAGTAGCCCTGGGTCTTCAGCTCTTCTCCATATGAAATGTGTGATAGAGAGTGACCTGACCATCGCTTTTGGTTTGCTGCTTGGAAAAAAAAAATGTAGAAAATACCACCCTAATTGGTTGTTTTCACCATGGAAGAGGCATTTCTTGAAGCAGCACCTTCTTGAGGAGCCTTCCTACACGCTGTGTTGTTGCTCCGTAAGTACACCTGGCCTGGCTAGGTTGAAGATCACTCATAGCCTGGGTTTACCATGGTTATTACTTGACCATCAACACACAGTCTTACTGTGAGAGGGAGCCTTGAGGACAGATTCTCTTGGGTCCAGTCGTTTGAGCAGAATTGAGGATCAGCTAGTTATATGCTTTAAAGATCTGGTAGGTGTATCTGTGTGGTTTAGGAGGAAACTTGGTGATGTTTGGGGTGGGTATTTCCTTCGTAAGTCTTTCGCACATCTCTTTGAAGGAGAATGTGTGCATACCCATGTATTCCGTGGCTGCTGAGTCCAAAGGCGACCCGTGGGACTTGGGCAGCTCTGTGAATCGGCGTGCGGACTTAGAAGACGTGAAAAATCAGGTGGCCATGCATGGCTTTAAAAAGATTTCACCGAGTCTGAATGAAATAACTCTCTGGGGCTCAAAACAGCAGGCATTGTCAGATACAAGGGATTAAAAGGCTTTTTAATGTGGCTTAGCAGTGTACAGAAGATTGGCTTACTTGTATGAGCTCTTCTTTCGTCACATTGATCTTTATTTTGCATTGTGCTTAGTACAACAGCAACTGGAGGCTGAAGTCTTCTTTCCCGAGTCATCTGGCAGGACTTGGCCCTTTCATTGCTTAGTAAAATCTTTTTTTTTTTTTTTGTGAAGGAGGAATTGATTTTTGCCTGTGTAGCCAGTGTTGAGTAACAGCTGAAGATTACCAAGTTGTAGTCATTTTATGAACGCTGTATGTGGCCAGGTTGGTGAGAGGAAGTTACCATACAATGGGTTACACTACTTTATATTCCTTTCCTGTATAGAGGTATCAGTCTAACTTAATAGGGAGCTAGCTGACGAAGGAATAAAAGGCAAAATTCAGTGGTTCCCCTGTGTCAGCTGTATGTGCCTGAACACAAGGTGGTAATTACAGGACGATAGCTCCAATTCCGATGCAGCTGGTTTGTCAGGCTGAGAACTAAACATCAGAGGAGGATAAAGGTGGCAGAGACTGATGGAGGAAATAATTTAACGCAGAGGCAGACAGCGCAGGAGAGGCTGGAAGAAGCTGGGCCTTCCTCTCCGCACGATGTAATGTAAGGTAAGTAATCCAGAAGGAAAGGCAAGTGTGTTGACTGGTTTATTGTTTTTAAGATCTCTTTTTTCTCTTGAATGGTTTGGTGCTAAGTAAGTGTTTCGTGGTCACTACTTAGAATCATTTACTTCATGAGAGACGAAAACTGTGAGGTCTGGGTCTGCCTGGGTTCTGCAGAGGTAATCACGGCTGACGCTGCAACCCGAGAATGGGCCTGTGTGTAGCAAAAAAAAAAAGAGAGCTAGAGATCTAGAGGAACAGTTAGCTGGTCACTTGCAACAGCAAAATGCAAACACAGTCACAAGTTTTGTTTTTTCTTCTTTGGAAATGATTTTGTGTATAAGTAGTTAGCCTTTAGAATAATAGGTGGGCTTTTGCAGACAGGCTTAACCTTGGTGTCTTGATGTGGTTTGGTTTTGTTTTTGTTTTTTTTTTTTTAAAATATGGCATAGTTAATTCCACAGTATCAAAGGTAAGAAAAAATTCATTACGCAGATACCAGTAATGTAAATATCTCAGTTATGTCCAAAATACTGGTTAGCTCCTGTTGCTCAGCTGAAGGCTAATACAGCAAAAGTGGTTTTTATTTTGTTGTCCTTTTATTCACAATTTATTGTACTATTGTTTTCACCACTTACCGTATATAATCAATTGGTTGTCCCCTGCTGTTACCATGGATATTTAATACACTGACACAGAAAAGAGACATTTTTATGAAGAGGAAAATGCAGCTACAAAATGCCTCTTGCACAGAATTGAAGGCTGTGCCGTATTTTATGTTGATACAGCCAATAATGGCTTCCTGCTTCATGTTCTTATCTACCATCTACGCATATGGAAACCCCTTGTGTTTTGTGAGGGGAAAGCGTGTCCTGGTTTCAGCTGGGACAGAGTTAATTTTCTTCCTAGTAGCTGGCATAGCGTTGTGGTTTGGATTTAATATGAGAATAATGTTGACAACGCACTGGTGTTTTAGCTGTTGCTGAGCAGTGCTTACGCTAGGCAAGGACTTTTTGGCTTCCCATGCTCTTGTCAGGGAGCTGGGAGGGGGCACTGCCAGGACAGCTGACCCCAACTGGCCAAAGGGATATCCCACACCATATGACGTCATGCTTAGCATGTAAAGCTGGGGGAAGAAGAAGGAAGGGGGGACGTTCGGAGCAATGGCGTTTGTCTTCCCAAGTCACCGTTACGTGTGATGGAGCCCTGCTGTCCTGGGGATGGCTGAGCACCTGCCTGCCGGTGGGAAAGAGGGAATGAATCCCTTAGTTTGCTTTGCTTTTGTGGCTTTTGCTTTACCTATTAAACTGTCTTTATCTCAGCCCATGAGTTTTCTCACTTTTACTCTTCGAATTCTCTCCCCCATCCCACCAGGAGGCAGTGAGTGGGCTGCTGTGTGGGGCCGAGTTGCCGGCTGGGGTCAAACCACAGCAGAGAGTTAGGTGCAACACAGCTCCTTGTGTCCATCATCCCTCCCGGGGGCAGGCAAGAAGCGACAGGGTTTGTAGGTCAGTTGGCTTGAAACTTCATGGAAGAGTGATAAATGCTATTGGTAACAATGGTCCAGCATAAACAGGAATCCAAGACCCGCTTCAGACTTTTTGGTGGTTTCTTGTTTTTTTTTTTCTTTTCGAGCTCAAAGGAGAGCACAGCATTTTAAACAAAAGGTGCAAGGGCCCACCCTTCCTGAATTGCACTTTGGTAGTTTGTTCTGTCCTGCTGCTATAAGACTTTACAGAAGGGTTTGGGTTTTTCTACCCTCTCTCCTTTTTTTATTATATATCATGAGAGAAATTTAATAGATGTTTTCATAAAAGTCTCCGATCCTACACTTTCCTCATTGTGCCTGTGTGTTCCATGAGGAGACCTGTTGATCATTACCGGTTTAAGTCTAGCACCTTTAATTCATCAGAAGTTCGTGTAATGTATTACTTACATTAGATATAGGTGCCAAAACTGACCTGTAAACCTAAAATTAAATTGGGACTACAAAATTAATTTCACTTAGATTGTGGAAATTAGACTATAAATGGAATTCCTGTGGGAACTGTGTAAGCCGCCTTTGACATTGATTTAATGTAATTCTTTTCTTAATAGGGTAACTTTAAATTGTGTAACCGGAACATAGTTTTAACCAGCACAGATTTGTAGCAAATTTTGCAGTAAGATGAGCATTAACAGGAACATTCTGTGGTGTTTCTGAATTTAAGGATTACGGTGTATAGCTTTATAAGCAGTCAGGCATCATATTCCCCCTGCCCCCCCCCAACCTGATCAGATAGGTAATGATACAAAGCTAACATGTAATTCATCAAACATCTGCAGTCAATAAGTTTTAATTTATAAAATGCACAGGATAACATAAATTTAGGCTAAGGATTTATTTTGTGGTCAAAACTGAGTTCAGAATCTGAATTTCAAGCTTAGGGCCTGAATTGGTATTTCTTGCCCAAATCGCAATAGTTAACTCCTAATTTGGGAGAATTTTGAATGAAAGACTTAATTTTTCAAACTGGACCCAGGAATTCAAGGTCTGACTAGCTCTGGAACAAAAATCTGCATTTTATTAATAGATGGCAAGTGAGCGTGTTTGTTCTATGCATGAGATTGATTTGAGGACTGAAATTATTCTGAATCATTCAAATGTCTATGCTTTAGATGACAGCGTACTTTGCTTGCTTTGCTGCTAGAACAGTATTGAAAAGCACATTTTCTTTCTTGAGATTTAGAAATATTCTTGTTGCTTTTAAAGATGACATGTTCCGGTCTGATTCTTCAAGTTTGTCTCTGAATGCAGTCACATTGCTGAGGTCTGAACACATGCATGGTCATTGCGTGAGAGCTCATGCGTTAGATTGTCTCAGCAGGGGAACATTTATGGTACTTCAGGTAACTTGACCTATGAAAACATTAATTTTGGATGTTTTACTGAAAGGAACTCAGAATATCCTGACATTCTGTAAAACGGATGACGATGCTTTTAAGCAGGGTGAGAATACTCTGAATGCTGGGTCATCTCAAAACGTGCTTCAGCTTTCTGGGCTCTGTTACTCAGCAAGTCTTCTGTATTATTTAACACAATATCGTCCTGGGCCTTTACTAAGCCGGTAGGTGCAAAAGCAGTTCTAATGCCTATCAGGCTGTATAAAGAGCACAGCTGCGCGCCAGACCTCAAACATTTTAGATATGCAAAGTAATCACTAAAAGGCTGCCTTTTGCAACACTTCATTAATCTGAGCCAGTATTAAACATTCTTTTGTATTAGTAGAGTTCTTCAAATGAATTAATTCTTCCAGACATGGCATGTGTTGATAGCAGGTAGCCCTTGCATGTTCATTCTCCCTTCTGCACGCCCAGGGCTGATCTTCTGATCTGTTAGTTTAATCTCTTAATTGTCTATATGTCCTTCCAAGAAGGTGCTGGCCTTTCCTTGATGAAGTCAAGTTCTTTGTTCTTTCCAAGGAATGTCAAGGGACAAGCTTTAAGACCCTTCTGTACTGTATTTGCAAAGAAAAGTAAAATGTGATGAATGAGAATCCACTTTAAAATAGAAAACTGCACACAAAACCCCACCGCCAGCAAAGACTTGAGAGAGCTTTTGGCAGCTAAAAATATATGCACATTCTTCTCCTAACTCATAAGAAATAATGGTATAGGAAGTATTTTTTGCACAAATATAGCTCAGAAAATGCAAGGTTATATTTTAAAAAAAAAAAGATAAAAATCCCAAACTTCATTAACAGAAATTTAGAACATCCTGAATCCTCTCATATCACAGCTTGACCTAACCCTGCTCAATAATGAAAACAGTTCACATCAACAGGGGGAGGTAGATTTGCCTTTCTGATCAGGCATAACTTTGTAATTGAAAGTGCCACTAATAAAATCTGCATGTTGCAGAAGTAAAAATGACAGCCTCAGCTTGAGACATTCCCTGGCATGACTCGATGGGACTTCAAGCTACAAGAAAAAGCTTTAAACACCTTGCTTTTGCAATCTGTAATGAAAAGTAGCCATCTATTATCAGATGTGTTCCGTGTTGTAATCATAATAGTGTTAGCTGCTAGAACTAGAAAAACTGTTAAGGAATATGAAAATGCTTAAGCTATAAAATGCGTATTTGTACGATTCTGTAGCTACACCGAACAAAACACAGTGTGCTTCAATAAAAAGAAAATGCGATTTACCCCTGTCAATGATACGTTATTTCTAGCTGCATTGCTTTTGTTTCTTGCATGGGAAAAAAGAACAGCAGAGTACAGAGAGCGGCTGAATAGGTATCTGTCCTGCAGCTGACTCCACTAAGAGCATACTTTGAACAAGTTCTTCCTGAACACAGAATTGTGCCTGAACAGAGAGAGTGGCAAGGTCAGAGCCAAGCATGAAAAATACCTCCCTTTCAAATGAAAGCTTTTATATGCGTGACAAGGAAATGCATGGCGTGGTTTGGTGCAGGGCAGGATATACTGAACGACTTGTTCACTTATCAAGGGGAGCTGGATTACTTTTGAGATTCAAATCTCAGTGTAGCGCCAGATATGAAAGAAAGTCAAGGTTGGCTTGGTTTGTTCTAATAAGAGAAAATAGAATCGAAGAAAATATTTCCCAGTAGAAATTAAGTGAAAATATTTTATGCTGTAAGTCCAGCATTCCAAAATTGAATCTTTGGTCCTTTTTATTTTTTTTCCCCAGTGAATGTACACATGATCCAGTAATAACAAAAGTTACTAGAAACATATTTTAGTAAAACCTTATTAATCAGAGCAATCCGATATAGTATACCTGATGTTCATTATATTTAATGAGAAATCACTCAGCAGATGTGCTCATTAGTGATTTGTTGGACAGCTTTGTGAAGGTACTTGACTTAAACCCCCGTTTCAGTTGCTGTGCATTTAACAAGCTCCATGAATAGCTATGGTCTAACTGCTTCCTGTTTCTCAGGCGCACTGGCAGCATGGCTGAAATGTTATAAAACGATAACCCTCAGTATGGAGGTTGCAGACCAGGCTGGTTGTTTATCAGGGTGCTGAAATCTTGGATCCCACATCCTCCTCTGCTGTTTCTCATGCTATGCGCGCACTTGGCAAGCTGCGGCTTCATGTGGCAAGTCTCCCTGGCATTCACAAGCCACATAGCCCTTCAGTGTCTTCTCATTTCAAGAGGTAGTCCAGGCTTCAGAAAGCCTCCCTAACCCATGCCCCTGCCCACTAACTGCTTTTGGTTTGTTTGCATGCTGTGCCCATAAGGGCAGCGGGCTCCTGGTTCATTACAGAACTATATACAGTAACAGAATTGGGGCTGAAATGTTCACTCTGTAGAATTAGTTCCTCTGCTCTGAACCTGCTCTCCCTGCAAATGCTTCCCTTTGAATGGCAAAGCACCCTGTTCACTGATCAGCCTGATGCAATTAGTATCTACCACGAGCGGTTACTGTGATGCTTCCTTGAAGTCCCAAGTTTAAACTTCTTGGAGCCCAAGTCTAGAGGGCAAAAGAGAAGACAGCGGTATTTATAATTAAAAGGGCTTCCGTGAAGAAAAAATGAAGACTGAAGAGTGAAAGAAGGGTATACAGACATCAATCTGTGTATTTGGTTTGTTTGGGGTAACAGAAGTAGTCTGTACAAAGAAAAAGCAGCATCTCTTAATTTTTTTGTGGTGTTCAGACATTCTGGAGTTGTATTTCAGTAACAAAACAGCTTTATTTTTAAAAGCCATCTTCTAAAAACCCAGTATTGCTGAGATACTAGTTAAAATCAGAAGACTCGGTGCAACAGGCCCAGTTCCTATCCCTTAGATTAGGAAAGGCAGATACCTGTCATTCTGCTTCAAAAAAAGCAATGTGAAGAAATCGTGTAGCTTATACATTCCAGGAGCTAGTCCGTCATACGCTTTTGAAACCAAAACCCCACCGTGTCCATCTTTCATTCAATAAACTGGGCCGCGACCCGCAG